TAAAATCACTGCATTAGTTTCATTACTTTTGCATTAGTTTCACTTCATTAAATTGTTTATTCTTAAAAAATTGAATCAATTGCATTAATTTTATTTGTTTTTCATTATTTTCATCAGGTAATCTTAACTTTTTATAAAAGCATTATAACAAAAGTACTTTCATGATTTTTGCCTCATTTTTATTCCATTAAAGTGCCTATTCTTGAAAAATATAAATCACTGCATTAGTTTCACTACTTTTACATCATTTCCACTACATTAATTTGTCTATTTAAAAAATACTGAATTCATTGCATTAGTTTTATTTCTTTTTCATCATTTTTTTCAGATATTCTTGATTCCTGTTTTGCAAAATTATTATAATAACAGTACTTTCATTACTTTTGCATCATTTTCATTCCGTTAAATTGTCTATTCTTGAAAAATTAAAATTACTGCATTAGACGTGATACTCTTAAATTAAACATAATAGACCCTTTTTTTGTTGCTAGGTTAAGTGCAAATTTCTGACATAATTTTTACCATATCACCCCAGAGCGGTTTTGAAGGAAATGTATTCGGTCAAAAAAAATTATATATTCGTGATCAGCATGATCGATTACCTATATCCCCGTCGAGATCCGAAGAGGGTACTTCTGACAATAAGCCAAAAAAATTTCGACAAAATACAATGGTAACTTCAGTATACAGAACGAAAAAAAAATCACTCTTCGCACAGGGTTCGAACCTGTGTCTCATTATCGACGCTTCTATCCACTGAGCTATATGCGAAGTTATATCTCTCTTCTTTCTTATAAATGTTATTCTTTTCCTATCTTCTTGTCGATAAATTCTATGTATCCATATAAAATACAATGTTAATCATGAAAATCTTATTCAGTGAGTTAGAGTATAGGAACAAAATGAAGCGGTTGAATTTACAGATTGTACGTGGATATAATATTAATATTGGATGAATGAATGTATGAATATGTATTTTCATCAGAACCAGTTATAGTTTTTGATAAGTATATAGCTGAAGCTATTAGAGCAGCTGTTGGATCATATTTACCATGGAGATTTTCAGGTGGAAGATAAGGATAATCTGTTTCGAATATTAGTCTTTCAGGAAGAAAAGGTGATCTTTTTATTAACCAGTTTTCAAATCTATGAAAATTTTCAGTATTATTTCCATGTGTGATGGATCCTTTAAAGCCGATGTAGGAATTCGGATACTGGTTTAAAAATAAATCAATAATATGCAAATTCGAATTACTATTGATACAATGCCAATGAAATGGAAAATTTCTGTCAGATATTCGATTTTTAATACAATCGAATAATTTTTGATAAAGGTGAGTACCACGACAATGGATAACCAGTGGGAGATGGAATCGATTGGCAAGATCAATCTGTTTTTCAAGGACAAATAATTGTTGATCAATGTTTGTCATAGCTGTTTCATCAAGTCCACATTCTCCAACTGCAACTATTTTATTTTTAGAATTTGAAATATGATGGGAAATTTCTAAATGATTTTGAAGATCATCAAGAATTTTATATACACCTTGTGGATCAAAATATTTTGGATGAATACCCATGGTGGGATATATGTGAACGTGTTGAGGAACATGATAAGAATTCAAAACCGACCATCCATCAGGTTTGTGATTATTATTAACGAAATGATATTCACGAATAGAAGGGATCGCTTTAATAGCAATCAATTCAGATTGAATTTCATTAACAACTTGATTCAGATGTATATGACCATCATAAATAGGAAGATAAGGAGGAATATGAATTTTTCGTCCACATTTTTTATCACAATATGACGATAGGCTGAAAGTACACAAATCATTAACAAAGCAATGATTCATATCTAAAAAAGATTATTTACAACAGTACATGCCTAATTATAAGAGAAGGGTAAAAGATTATATACTATATTTTAAAAATTTCTATAAATGCATTTATCAATGTAGAATATATTTAGAGAAGCGAACGCATTTTGAAAGAAAACGAATATGTGAATAAAAATGTCGAAATAAAACATGAGGATTATAAATGTATTTCATCATAAGCTTAACATTTCACTTATGATCTTCTGAAGCTCTTGAATCGATTTTCCGTCCTAGGTAGAAATTTAGTTCCAAATCTTTTTTCAGGCTCCCAAATCATTGATTCATCTAAGTCTATGTCACTTTCATCTTCTACTTCAGCAATATCTTCTATAGGTCGATCGAATTGCCCTTCAGATTCATCGTCACTATCTACCTCTTGTTGTTCTTTGTTACAAAAGTAAATGTCATCATCATGTGATGGTTTAGATTAATTTAGATTTTCAACGAAATCGTATACACCTGTTCGGGCAAATTCAGCCATCGCATTTCTTTCTGCTTCTTCTTCAAAGTTCATCTCGAGCATTCGATAAAGTTTCTGAAGCATAGTAAGGAGAGGATTTTTAGCGGGATTTGTAGATGAAAAATAAATATTAGAGAGTAGATCATTATTTTTCTCTACTCCTTGCATATTGTAATCTCCTAGGTCATTGAATTCATCAAATTCAAATAAATGATTTCCAATTATATGGATATAAGGAGTAACAGTTGTACGAAGGCCACTTTGACGAAACTCTTTTACAAATTCTAGACATAGACGTTTTAGTTGACCTTTTCGTTTTACAGAATTATGCTTAACTTCATTAAGAAGTTCTTTAAACTTATTCACAACACTTCGAGCAGATTTTGCAACTTCGTCACCTAGAATTTCTTTGTAAGGAAAGCTGTCAACAAAAAATAGATCTTGAAGATGACCAGACAGCTTTCCATGTGACGCAATAATTTTATTTTTATCATCTATTTCTACTTGAAAGAAAAAACGATTTTCGATAGTTCTCTTGCAATGCTGATTAAGAATTTCAATTTTTTTTCAATAATTGTTGAATGCTCACCTCCGTATTTACCAGTCCGAGAAGCGGAAGACAATATATCTGTTATAGTAACGTCAAAGATTCGTAGTTTCATGTGTAGCGTATCCACACAATAATCCTGGTAATCAAAAAGATCACCAAAAAGAGGTTCGCACTTATATCCTAAAGTGTCTTTTTTTTGAGCTAAACAAAGCCGTTGCTCGGCAAGAGATCGTGCTCGTTTAGTGGAATCGTGATAGGAAGTGGAATCAACATGAATTTTAGTAGTTTTTTTTACTTTTACCCTTTCCCTCTGTAGTTGTTTTCTCATAGGCAGTTTCTTCAGTTATGTGCAGATCATCTTTATGTTGCGTACAGAAGACGCAGGGATAGTTGGAACTGAAGCCAGAAAGTCCAAATACGTACACGGCATTCATCAAATCACCACCTAATCTAATATGAATTTCAATATTTTTTTCTCCTACAGAAATCTGTTTTACTGATTTTATATCAGTAATAAATTCTACACGCAGAGTATTACGTAAAAATTCAGTATTTTCCTTTTGTACTGCAAAAAGAGCCAAAGGAATAAGATTTGTCGATGTTTGGCATTGGCGACCACCTTCAATGCAGTTTAAGGATATCGCGACTATGTGCTTATTCCCTATAAGTGTACCGTCCATATTAAAGCGAATATTAAGCTTATCAACCTGATCAAGCTTAAGTTCATATTTTTGGGCAACAAAAATAGCAGTTCTTACTGCATATTCAAATTTGACATCGGCACTTGTCTTAGTATACGCGATAGGAAATTTGGAGTTTGCATTTTTTCTCAGCT